AGATTTTAAAACTTTATATAAGCCTCGATGAATACTTCTTTTTAAAGCGAAAAATAATTGAAAATAATCTAAAAATTGTTTTACTTCATAATTTGTGTTAAATGTTTCGACAATTGTTTTTACCAGACCGGGTTTTAACAAAAAGTATTAGATGCATGCGAAAATGGATTAAGATGGTGCAATTATAATAGACTTACATACCATAATTAAATTAAATAATCCTAATTTCATGTTAATTAGTAAAATACGTCACGGTTTTATAGCAGTTCCATTCCACTAACAGCAATCTGAAATGCAAAGTGATTCGTTGTCGCATATTGGCAATTCAAAAGAAATGTATGCAAAAATTGAGGTTCTGTGCAAATTGGAATGTTTATATTTGTCCACACCATTAAACATGTTTTGCTAGCGACTTTCACTATCAAGTTTTTTGATGGGTTTTCATTCCAATCGAATAAAATGTTTAAAATATGTTTCTTTTCGTAAAAGCGTGTTATTTTGATGGTATCTCAAATATAACTAGAGACTTGCCAACGAAATCATAAGTGAAGTTTAGCTTTTAAAATGCATACAAATTGCCAATCATACATATTACTTATACATACAAAACGTTAAGCAATTTCGCCAAGTATAGTAAACAACTATTCGGTTTCTGCTAATCTTTAAATTTCTCTAGTTCAATTATATTATTTAGTAGACTTCAAATAAATAAACAAATTTATGAAATAGATTATACAAATCATTCCAAATTAATAAATTCTAACAGTTGAAACAGATTAGGTATGATTACAAAACATGTGTTTTTTGGTGTTAAATTGACTAAAATTGTTGTTAATAAGAACTTAATGTAATATTGATTTTTGCCTGTAAACATGGCATCTGACCAGAAAAAAATTGCAGGTCATACTTTCACCGCAGTGCTCCTTCCATCATCTCCATCTAGCTATACTTTCATTTGTTCATGCGTTGTTTGGTATATATTATACTTTATATATTCCATTCATCGTAATATCATACCAAATTTACAATTCTAATGTATATATGGTAATTCGTATTGAATACGTTTCCCTATTCTTCCATAGTTATGCCTTCATTTTCGCATACATCATGTATACAACTCAGTTTCCATTACCATACATATTATCATAGTATTTTTCAACGTAAATAAACAACAATAAGTTAACATTTCTGAAATCCATTGTCTAGTTTAATCTCTATCATCCATTGTTTTTGGCAAATCATCAATGCCATAAGCATTTTTTTTTTAAGTCAAGAATTATGTACGATTTTATTGGCCTTGTAATAAAAATGTTAAATCTTATAAAGAATTGTTTAACTTATAATTTGTTTTATTGATAAAGCATAAAAACTACTCAAGTTCAGTAATTTGATTGTAAAAAATACTTTTAATTGTCAAGATCAACTTTAAAATTAATTTGTTAAAAAATATTTAATACATTATATCATATTAATTTTTCATGGTCATTATCTAAATATCTACGTAGTTCTATAAAACAAAATATAAAAAAACCTAACAAGTAATAAAGTAGATAATAGTTAAGATAGTAATATTTGAGTTTGAATGATTTATAAAATTATATACGTGCTATCACGCTAATAATCATATCTTGTGCTCTACATTTTACTTTACTATTTTACCATTTATTACCACCTTGTAATTAAAAAAAAAAATGTTTTACGTTGACTTACATACTTACGAATTAAAATTTAAAGCTCAATTTAAAAATCCCTTAAATACAATTCATAATTTAGGTTATAGTAAATTCTTTATGTTTTTTTTACCGTCTACTGCATTAAAAAATTATTACATAATCTGCCAAAGTAAACAAATAATTACTTATTTTATAACTTATCCGTTTTGTTTTAAAATATTAAAAAATAATTGTTATCTAATCAGTTATAGAGAGTAGTTAACCGGCTAGGTTAGATCAGGTGAAATCCCGTTGGGCCTCTCACTGTTTAAACATTAAAGGAGCCTGCATGTTTTAGGCCTCTTTTCTTAATTCCACCTTAGATATGGCCAATGGCCCGGAGTCTATTTAGATGGCAGGCAACAATTTATAATGTTAATTTAAACATAACTATTTATAAACATGTAAGTTATTTTATAACTATCGAGCTGATTTAACTAGTTAAAAAAAAAAATACGAAAAATATACATTAATATTCAATAGTTTAATAACACTATACACCTAGTTATTTTCTAAAACATTTTTTTTCTTCAAAAATTAAAAGCAATTGCAAAATCGATATTTAATTGATGAAAACTGAACGCATCAAATGTATATAATACTGATGAAATAGGTATTAATAATAACTAGTTTATTTTAATAGGGTTATAAGTACCATTAACAATATTATATTATATTATTGGGTTATTACATTACTCACCTTTTAACATGTTAAAAAATCAATTAATTGCTGTCATAATTGAATTTCGCGTTAGCACAATGTATAAATTTTAAATACCTAATAAGTCAATACAGTTATGAAATACCATAACGATAACCTTAATAATATACATTTCCACGATTATATTGATACATGCTATAACCCTATTTTCGATTGGAATATTATAATTGCATCTTCAATAAAAGATTAATGGTTTTGACCTATTGGTTATCTTTTTTGTCCCAAATTATAATATGATTTTACTTCTGATAAAAATTGTGACAATTATTATCTTAGCGTATATTCTGAGTTAATATCAACTATAACATTATAATATATGTTTTTTATGCAGATATGGGCTGAAAACTATACTGAGTTAAAGGAAAGTTTCACTGGAGAGCAGTGAGTATTACACATAATATTTTTATGTTATTCGCATTAGGTTAATAATATACATGGTATTAGGTATATAATTTAATATTATGTAGTAAGATATGTGTCTTTCATTGTAAAAGTGAGTTATCTCCATGTAATTGGATTTTGAAATAACGAGCTTTTTTAACTATTGTGTAGAAAAAAACATACAAGTGTTCATTCAGTGTTTTCTATTTTTTTTTAAATTTATTATTGGAGTTGCTTCTCTTTTATAATGAAATAAATGACTAAATATGACTTCATTAAGCAAAAATATGTATGTTTTAAAAATTTCGAATTACACCACTTTTACAATTAACGACTCTTTTTCCTATAGTGTTAAAATGTTTAACGGGGTAGTAAATGTACTTTACTAAAGGCTCATAATACTATAGAGTATACCTAACTCTATTATTTATTTTTTCTGTCCATTTATGATTTTTGAAATTTCAAGTATTGTATTCGCAGAAATTAAATTGCAATTAATAATTTTTAAAAGTGTGTTACGGATTATTTTAATATTATAATATAATTTTAATTTTAAATGTTGGAACCATATTGCAAGTATTATTTTATTTTTTAATGTACAATGTGCAACCGCCATAGTAGGCACACTTTAAGCAGTAGGTAGATCGAATTTAAAAGCAGGACACAAAAACAGGCTCATTTGTGTTGTGAAGAAGTAATGAGTAAAGTTTTCTACTATATTTTTAGTATAAGACGGCAAAGGAGAAAGTCTTTGAACTTTAAAAAAGTTATTTCAGATTATTGATGTGCGTGTTTGACAGTTCTATGATAAAAGTGAACTCAAAATCACCAAATGACGTTTGTTATAAATTATATTTTGTTTCTTACTTTATTTGAACTGACTAATAATCAAGTAATGTAATAAAGAATGATATGAATTATAATAATTTAATGAACTGATCTAGGGCGGCTTTTTTTTGTGACAAACAAAAAAATATACACTTGTAAAACATAAAATTGTATTTTTTTTTCAAAATTGAAAAATTGGATGATAGTTTAATTAAAAATTAAGAAATTATCTACAGGGCAACCAACTTATGTGAACCACTCAATATCTCACTGGGTTTAATTAATAATTGAATTTTTTCCCCATAATGTTTGTATACAATGTGATCTCAATTTTTTATTATTTTTTGTGTTTTTACCCCCCTTCTAACTTAGTTTTTTTAATAGCAACTTTTGAAACTTAAATGGTAACGCATACATTTCATTAAATTTTTTAATTGAGAATAATGTATTAAAAATTTTGACTGGTCGATAACCAGTTTTGGATAACTATTTTTAAAGTTATAAGAGTTTACAAGTTAGGATGGGAGGGGAAGTGTGATTGGGAAATGTGCGCAGGTAAAAACAATACTACACTCCACCTTTCCTTCTGCCCTGAACTTAAGTTGTTTTGTATCGGGATAAATTCAGAATTATTTACTAACTGGAAAAAACAAAAATATTGGCATTTTGTACTTAAGTCTCCCGGCGCGGCGGTTAGATGATCAAGGCTTGTCGATACCAAATGATTATTTTAATATTACTGTGGTTCTAGTGTACTATTTTTAATAGGCAGCGTCATTTTAGGTATCGCTCGCATTGGAAAATATCATCGGAAGGTGTTTGACGACAACCGTCGTCGACAGGTAAGGGAGTTCCGCTCCGTGTGCGGTGTCCCCTCTTTTCGGTTTCGATACTTTAGAGAAACGACAATATACCTTCAACAATATCGACCGGGTATTGTGTAGAACCACTGGCGGTTAGATACATATAATATAGCTAATAATATTATAATAGTGGTTTATAATTAATATACAATCTAGAAGAATGCCGGGCGCGTCTATGTCCCGGTCGACCTTCCACGGCCCGTTGGTTTTTGCCTCTGCCGCCGCTACCGCCGTCGTTGTCACCGGCCGATCCGGTCCCCCCATAGGCACCGGCGAAGAGTGAAACGCGGCTACAAAAAAAACCGAACCACCGTGATCCAAACGGGAGACCACTTGTCGCGTCGTTCTTCCGGCACAGCACCGACTGCTGTTATACCTAATACTATATTATATTGAATTATATATAGGTATATAGGTATACATATTATATGCACAAGCCTAGGTTGTAACCGGTCGGCGGCAAAGCCCGCGTACACAACAACCGCACCATAGGTACGTGCACTCGCAGTCAGTCCCAATCGTTTCACTACCGTGACACCGGCGACTCGTGTGTACGCGCGTCCCGTTACCAATAGTAAATTACTATTAATTATTGGTACTCGAAAAAAAAATATTTATATACCTACATATTAGCCGGTCTCTTAAGCGTGAAATCATTTTATCCGCCTTTTTTTTTTTATTGTATCGCGGTCGTTTTGGTTTTTATTATTTGTTTTTGTGTTGCCAGTTTGTGAAATCTTTCGTGTTTCCGATTGCCGCGTATACCCGTCCTTCGACCGCAGGACACCCCCGAGCAGCCGCGGTTCGTACACAAACGCGATACCAACCATGGACGACAAGGATAAGATACGCAGGATGTTCAGCTGGAGCTCCAGCATCACGTGAGTACCGGCTGGTCGCTCGTTTAAATTTGTCATTACTGTTTTAATTTGCCGTCTCATCGACGCGCAAGCGTCTTATCGTTTTGTCGCCCATGCAAGCGATTATAAAACATTCATCATTTATACCGAGTCTGGTAATTATTAATATTATTATTGTCGCAACGGCGGTCGGCGTAATAGTAGTAGTGCATAAACCGCGGCCGGTTTTAGGCGGTGGACCCTTCGGTCGAAAAGCGAAAACGAAAAAGTTTTGTGCACCGTCGTCGCCGTCGTCGTATTCGTCGTCTGCAATGGGTTGCGCAACGGAAGAAGAAATCGGCGGCCGAATCAGGCAAGGAGAGCCAGGGGGGTATACCGGTTTGTTACGCCACGGACGACGGTAAGTGCCTCTCCCGCCCGCCGGCCCTTGGCAAAGCTGGTTATTCGGGGTGTCGGCCGTGAGACCTGATGGTTTTTTAAAAAATATTTTTTACACACACACACACCGATAGATACTGATTAATAGTAATAGTGCGTTGTGGCTGTTTCAATAAAAACATATTATACGACGTCGTCGTCGTGTTACGTGTACGACGATAATATTATTATTGTGAACGTTTCGAAGAACCGATCGCTATATAATTATTATTATACACATTTTTTCTTAACACACACACACACATATGATGATTATAGCATGTAAAAAGTTAATCACTTGCCTTGTGTATTATAATTTTTCTAATGTTATTATATCATAAGCGGAGTCGAGCAAAATCGTCCGGCAGACGGTTTTCATAACTCCAATCCTCTGCCCCCCCCCCCAAAAAAAGAACTGATGAAAACCCAAATATTATGGTTTTAAATATCATATCACATAGTGTACACTCTGTCAAGTAAAGTTGCATACTCACACCCTATAACGGCGTTTCTGGCAGCAAACGTTGATAATAATCTTTTCTTATCGTCGTTCAGCTTTCTATTATCCGCTTCGGCCAAACTGTTATCCCCAAAACTAATTACTAATAGGTTTAATGTCCAGCGCAACAGTTGTACAGTCCACTTGTTATCTATGACTCACGAGTTTTAATAATTTTAATTTTTTTTTAATTTGGAACAGCGTTTAGTTTAAGTACTAAAATAGTTTTGACTCTAAACACATGACGCTTAATGTAGATAAAATAATATTAACTATGTAATCTGTTAATTAAAATCAGTATAAAATTCGTCAGCCTAATGTTCATTATTTCAGATATTTTGTGACTAAAATTCTATAAAATAGTTTGTACTTTTTTGTATTAAGGTGGATACGATTAGAGTTGATAGTCTGTCTTCATTAGCGTTATTATCCGTATATCTTAATTAACAATACAATGAATACATGAATTATATTTTTGATACTTGTTGGCTGTTGATTTACTCACACATATCAAACTATAAATTTACAACGGTCAGTGTTTTTCCTTCAAAAAAGTTTTACTACACATTTTTGAGAAAGTTGTGTATGTCAAAGCACCACTTTAGATCTACATACAGTCTAATTTGCAGACATTAAGCCCTAAATTTACACCTAAAAAATCGAACAAATAAAAATAGTTCACTCTTTGCTCCGCATCGAAGATAAACAAAATTCATCTCCCGCAATAAATAGTAAATAATAATTACTTATACATGTGACAATTGTACAAACTTTTAATCATATATTGTCGCTTTAATTAATCAACTGGTACATAACCATATTATTTCTTGGCCATATATCATAAATATAATTATTATCCTTTGCAATTTATAATCGTTTATAATTCCTTGTGGACAAGTTAATTCAAGTAAGTTTTTTTAGAAATTGAAATTGCTAAAATTTCTTTTAGAAACCACTGAACGTAATCCATAATAATTACCAATCGATGTACCGGTAAATCCAATTTAGCTAAAAAGTGTCTTGACCTACTGTAACACGGACGTGTCGTGTTTGTTATGATAGTAATATGTCTACCCTCGTCAAATTTCTCCGCAATCAGTGTCTATATAATATGTGTATAGTAGGTCCGAGTGTATTTGTATTACATACCATTTTGTTATTAAACAATAATATTATTATCTTGCACTCTCATTGCCGATTCAACGGTTTCCAGTTGTGCTATTAGTATAATCAAGAAAACCAAAAGGGATTCATGTGCAATATGTACAAAACATTATGGTCTATTGAATAATGCGACAATGCTCACACTGTACTATAATCATCATATTATTATGCATTATACTTAAGCTCCAACTCTCTCTAACCTGTTATTTAGTAGTTCCATTTATTTAATTGTACAATCATGTTACATCATCGCATCGCGTTGATATCTTCTAAATAATAATAAATGAATAATAATTTGTTACTGTTGTGCTAATGCCATAATATTTATTTTTATCTCGAACGCTGTAAAAAAATTGAAAAACCGGAGCGACATTGACATAGATAGTTGCTTAGATAAATAGCATAGCACTTAGAAATTTATCCGTGTCGTTGGAACGCAAAAGACTGGTAAACGATTTGCGGAAAAAGTTAATAAAAGTGAAAGGTTATGGGTGATAATAAATTTAATGATAATCTTGAATTGCATTTTTCCACACCCGCAAACGCTCAGAGTAAACATCACTATTGTAAAAAAGAAAAAAGTAAAAGTTTCCAATACCGTAAAGTATAGACAGAGTTGGGCAAACTTCGGAATTTCATAATTTAAAAAATCCAAAGTACAAATGATTTGCAATATCCTATTTAATATACAAACAAATACAAAGTATTGTTCTTAATGTTTTTAACAGTATTTGCAAATAATGTTTTTTAAGTATCAATTTAGCACAATGTAATTGCATTAAGTTGTTGCTTATTCTGGTCAGGTGGCACTGCTGAGAATCTTCCTATTCTTACATTACTGTCACTGTGTCTTTGTCATCAGACTTGCTGATTATATATATTTTGTATAGATTGTAAATAAAGAAAATTTTTAATAAAAAAAAAGTTGTTGCTAACATACTGCCACGACCACCTTACCTGCTCGGTTAGTCGTCCTCTTTCACTTGAACTACACTTATCATAAAGATTTGTCTTAACTCAAGTATATAAAATTGATGTTAATCCAATAATTATCCTTATTTTAATTTAAAATAATTTAAGTTGTCTTACTAAGCTCTAAAAAACCTTTGAAATACATTTTTTTCCATTATAAATAGGAAGGGTTATTACACTGTTACTCGATAGCGTTTTATGTTTGACAAAAACTGTTAAGATCAAAAAATAAAATACAAATTAGAATCAAAAAACAAAATATGACTTCACACCTTTTGACTGATCACCAAAGGGCAAATAGGTACAAGGAAACAAACTTTGAGTATCCTTCGACATATTTTTTTTAATGGAATTGCTAATCTATTACATTTTTATTATTCGTGATAATATTTTTCAATCAAAAACCATTAGCGTTAAAGTCTAACGCGCGAGCTATAATATCAAGTAAATTATTAAACGTATGTTTGTATAGCCAATAAAACGTGACGGTTATTCGCACGATTGATGAATACTTAGCGCGGTATAGCCTTGAGTAGTAGCGACGTCCGAAATATTGACGTCATTATTCACAAACAGAATCGGACAAATGATATGGAAGACGGCAGTAGCTTTTACTACTATATGGCTATTTGCAACTACATACAATAATATAGTGATGTCATAAAGTTTCAATTTATTACATCAACGCCGCGATAACGGTCGCATCCATATATAACATATATTATAATCATTTGTGTTGATCAAAATATTCGTTTTTGGCAATTGCCATTAATTTATATAATTCAATACACAAAACGCATAAAACGCAATGACCCTAATTATTATCAATTTATAAAAATATTTAATGATATTATAATACATCTGCGTCTACGCGCACGGCGAAAATCAAATACTATATTAATAATATATTTTAAAAAATAATAATCATAATAAAATTCGGTCACATAAAATAGTACACACCCGTAAAAATAAACAACGGTTACGGTGGTGAATACTCGTTGAGAAATCATGTCATTCTTTATAACTTAAATTATAATAATAATGCTAAAATCCAAAAAATACAAGTAGTATAATAGGGCAACGGCCAACGGTAAAATATTAGGTTGTGTGTTCGTCGTTTTTTTGTTTTTATTTATCCGTGCCCGCATCTGTTATTTGTCAAATCAATGCAAAATATAACTGTTGTTGTAATGACATTTTTGGAGTATGAAATTCGAATTCTACAGCAAGAAAAAATATATACATATATGTGTGACTGTAGAATAGGCTGTTGCATATTATGGACGTGTCCTTGCATATTTCTGTTTAATTACAAAATTCTGTTCTGTTCAAAACACATCCATGTACATAATTGTAATATATACATTAACTATTAATCGAGTGCCCTGAATTCTCAAACAAGTTGTTATTGATTCTAAATCCTATATATTGACCGTCCTTCTGATCATATAATATTATCATTTAGTTTAGAGCGATATTTCTACATGTTATTCTTACATACTCGTGTTACGTGTATACATGTATATAAGTTTGTATTTATGTGTTATATTACTTGTAGTTGGTTTTGTATTGGATAAATGTATTATTGGGATACATTTAAAATGCTTAAGGTTTACTATTATTAAAAGAATAACAAAAATATAAATCCGCGTCATTAATGCAACTAATTTGCTGAATTAAGTATTATGGTTTGAAATCATACGCCAAAAAAAGAACAAATTGCAGTAATTATTTTAAAACTGTTTCTTAACAGTTTAGAGGTCTTACATAACATGATTTGAATATTTTATAATTTAATATTCTAATTTATATTACAATAAAAATAATAAAATCTTACAATACATAAGACTAATAATTTTGTATTAATACTTAAGTACGATGTGAGTAGGTGTCCAATTTAATACAAACGGCCTTCCGCAGCGACCAAATGGATTACAGACCACTAATCCTACAGTATGAAATATTTTAT